TTAAATTAAACCTCAGCATAAGCAGAGCAGGCTTTGGTTATTAATCCTCCYAAGAGCAACTATAATTATTTTTGCCAGCCCTAATTTCATTTGCATATGTATTGTTAAACTGCAAATCACAGTGAACCAAGCAGAGTCTTTATATGTTTAGCTAAATTAAGTAGTGCTGCTTAAGCACATTGACTGTGGTAGCCAAAGTGCTAATTTAAAGGAAAAAAAGCAGTAACAGCAGCACACTCRCATAAAAAGGCAAATATGAACATCTTTGAATGCTTCCTGTCTTTGTTTGCGAGTTTCCTGGGAGAGTTTGTTGTCCTAGACATAAATGTGCTGTTGAATTTGATGTGAGGATCATAAGGTTAGTTGACTGAACACAGCTCAATATATCTGCTCAGAAATAGCAGAGATAATCACAAACATTTGTTGCTCTCTCTTTTCCTATTGAAGCTCAGCAATGCCAATGAAAAATTCAGCACTTCAGTCTCGTCCGGAAAATTGTTTAAGTTTGGCATTATTCTGCACAAAAAAAAAAAAAAAAAAAAAAAAAAAAAAAAAAAAAAAGAAAGAAAGAAATTCTTATTCCTGAAGCAGCTCATTAATAGCAGCACTTATTCCCCAAACACAACAGGTGGGTTATTGGAATCAGTTAAGAAGGCAGCACATTTGAAGGTCTGCAAAGAAAACAAATAGTGCCATTTTGTTTATTTGATATGCTCTTGTCTTGGAAAGCCTTTGGTTTAGAGACCTGACAGGAAATATCAGTTTTATGGCATCAGGAGGGAGAATCAAATGCCACTGAAGCCATCACGTGCCAATGGTTCCCAGGAGAGGGCTGCTGCTGCTGCTTGGTGCTGCTGCTGCTGGGCCTTCCTGGGCGTGCACATCCCAGGGGCTTTACAAGGCTGGCGTTAACCCATCTCTCTCTGAATCTCTTTTGTGTTATTATTCTGACTATTAAGAAATAATAGTCAGAATTGCTAACGGCTTCCCTGAAGCATGATTTTTCCTTCYCAGACTTCAGATGGAATATCTGTAAAAGAGATAGATAAATAGCAAGTGCGTCTGCACCTGAGACACGTTGAAAAGTTGTTCAATTTATTTGCTGGCTTCTGATCAAGCACCTTTTAGTAAAGGAAAGATGGAAGGAAGGTTTGCTGCAATATTTTATGAACATATTCGCAGGTAGTCTTCAGCACTGCAATAATTACTTCTTTTGTGGCATTTCAAAGGTGGCATTTCTGTTACTAGCTGAAGGCCAGGAATTGATTGAGACTGGGAAACTGGATACATTTCCACCGCAGATGAATAATGTTATGAGTTTATTTCAAAGCCAGATAATGTGTTTATTTCGAGATTTAATTTGTAGGTCCCAGTGCTGGGAGCTCATTGCAGATCGTTTTGGATACCTAARCAGCCCTGGGGATTTTACCACAAAAAGACTTGGAATAAAGTTACAAATATACAGGGCAGCTTGTGGGTCAGCTTAAAGTCAAAAGGCCATAAATGTTATTTTAATTTTAATCTTAATCTCAGAGCTGTATTATAGGAGTAGGCATCTAAAGGAAAGAATTTCAAATTGTCATGGAAATTAGTAGTATGGTTTTGTTTGGGTTTTGTTTGTTTGTTTTGCTGTGAAGGTGTGCTTAACTTTGGACTTTATCCAATCAACTTGTATTTTCATTTTTTTTGAGATTTTCAGCCCCCACAAAACTGTAGAATCCATAGAGCTATTGAATTCTTCTTCAGATAGGCATACTGGAAGTTGGAGTAGAAATTTATGATGCCTATTCAATCGTGGTAGTTCTTGATAGTAAAATAATTCTAGTTCATAACAACCTTTTTTAGACATGCCTTGGGCTGTGCACAGCTTTAGGTGATGACTTTATTTGTCATTTGCCCTTCAGTTTCAGGTTCTCATTACAATTTATTCTAAAGCKTTATTCTGGGTCTCACTGGTTTGTAGTGCGAATTATTATGGGCCTGTTCTGTGCAGACATTTTTTGGCAATAAYTTTTGTAACAGGGCAAAAAATAAGATACTGAAATCAGTGAACTGAGATGGCTCTAACTTTCTATATTCTTTTGCAACACTACTTTGGGAGGATTAAATGTGACACTACCAGTTGCATGTTTATAGATGTTGGATGGGACAAAAGCAGCTCCTGTTGTGGGAGGARAAGCAATTCCCATCTCTTTGGGCTTTCCTAGAAGCTTGGTGTGTGGCAGATATAATGAGAACTTTAAGGAGGAAAAGGGTTGGCTTGCTTAGAAATGGGAGTGAAGGGGTAAGAAGCAGCAGAGTCTCAGAGCCACCACTGGGAACTGCACRCAGCTTTTTGCTTGCTCAACAGGCAGGGGGAAAAAAATTGCTTTTATTAAAGGAAATATAGTTTTTCAATAAGAGGGCTGAGGAAGGAAAAGAAAAGGGAATGGTTAACATCATTTCTAACTGCATAGCACTTTAAATTCATTGATTTTTACAAATAACAAGATGAAATAACATTTAGTGCTGCTGAAACTAAACAGGTCAGAAATAAGTCTCGTCTGCAAAGAGCTGATTTCAGGCAGTCATAAAGGAGCCACCTGTTTGTATATAAATCTGAGCTCCTCCTCCAGTGCTATATGACTTTCTACATTTAATGTGGAACTGTTGATTTCCCAGGTTATTTTTGAGCAAAACCTACCTATTTTTTTCCAGTTACTGAAAGCGTTTAGTTTGTATGTGTTGTTATTCCCTCCCCTCCAAAAAGGACAGTGCTGCAGAGGAAAGAACGCCACTTGCTTCCTAATGCAAAGGGCAGAAGGGGGARAATTCCCGCGCTCCCCAGTCACGTCTGCACTTTCTGAACATGCTGCGTGTCAGGCTGGCCTTGGGCGAGGCCAGAGGTGCACAGCAGCTGCTAGCAATCAGCAGTGGTGTGGACTTTCATCAAGAAATTAAGAAATAAAGTAAAATAAAGTAAAATAAAATACTGCCCGCTCTTGCCTGACAGCTGCAGCATTGGCTGCTGCATCCAAACAATTTGGGCTACTCCATGGAGAAGCCTGGCTCCACATTGTCTGTRCTCATGCCAAAATATATAATTTTCTGCTATTACAAAGTCAGATATGGATTAAARCTGCATACCCTGTTCAAACACTTTTACATTCCTTTTCCTGTTCTGGGGGCTCTCTAAATCCTCTGTGTGGGTGCCTGAAGAGACTGGGTTTTGCTGTGGCCTGTCTGGATGTGGCCGTGCCCTGTAGAGCGTGTCACTGCAGTCCTGTTTGCCATGAATGTTCCACAGTTGTGTGCTGCCTAACTGCAGAAATGATCTCTTTGGCTGATGGACTCCGTGTTCCAAGATTTTTTTTTTCCTTAAATTTCAGATGAGTTTTGGATGATTTAGAGACCGGCTTCCAAATGCCTCATTTTGCTGCCTCAGGCAGCGAGGGATGCCCTGCAGAGCCGCTAAAGAGGCTTTGGTTATCACTGCTGGGAGATGCCCTTAGCTCGGCCTGTGCCAGCCGAGCTCCGAGCACGACTGCTGAGCTGAGCTTGGCTTCCCAACCCCYGCGCGGGGTCCTCGGTGCTTGCCCAGAGCCGTCACTGCGTGCAAGCGGAGCCATGGCTTGCTTTAGCCATAGCCTCTTCCTCAGGATCCCTCCGGGCTGCTCCCTCATGTCGTGACCATCGGTAGCGCCTGGAGCAGCCCCCCAGYCGAGCGGTGGCGGGGCAGCCGGCTGTGACGATGCTCCTCGCAGATGTCACATGCGGATGGGGCTCTCTGAGCACCAGGCCTGGCAGGACAGAGCGGCACTAGCTAGGAAATAAGGCACTGTCTTGGTTCCCGTGGATAGCAGTGTCAAGCTGCAGTGCTGCGAGTGGCAGAGGCTGCGTTTTCCCAACACGCTGCAGGGGAAAGGGAATTCTCTTAGCAGCAGCTGCTGGAAGAGGGGTGACAGCAGCYGAGCTCGCGGCCACCACAGCCCCGGCGTGGCCTGGCACAGCTCCCTGCCGCGCTGCTCCTTTGCACCCGCTGCCCCTCTGCCTTATTCGCCTGTTCTGCACCTGCAGTTTGGTGCTGAGGTCAGTGGCTGCCTTTTGGGGAAAGGTTTGCAAATTCTCTTGCTTCCTTAAGTCCCCGAAGCAAAGCAGAGGCRTCAAAGAGTCTATTTGCTCCTAGGAAATTGGTTATGTTGCAAAACGRTTATGTAACCAATGCTGATCATTCTTGCTTTTATTTTCCTAGTTTCCTAGCCATTAACATACAATTTTAATACCTATGGCATCATCTTCTGTCTTTGGGAAGGTCAGTGAAGGGATCCTTTTCTGTTTGCATGGAATACTCATTTTTGCCTTTCCTCTCCATAGCAGGGAAGACTGTCTCACTCTCAGTTCAGAATCCAGTGGATACGAAAGAGATGTCCTGGCCTCTAGCATACCCCTTGAACAAAATGCTTATTTTGTGTGCTGCAGTTTCTGTGAAATAATCCTCTTTTGCTGAATTTCCAAACCCTGAGTCTTAAAATACGTTAGGAGCCAGAAGATGTGTTTTAAGATGTGTATATTTTTAAGTGTACTAATTTTTTTGTCAAATATAATATTGAAATGAGACAAACATATTGAATGTATATAGTGTTAGCTATATGTATGATCTTAATATCACATGATTGTGAGTTGATTGACCTGTGAATGAATTTATTTTGAGGCTGTGSTAAGCAATGCAAATTTAATTGGAAATAGCTGCATATGCAGCTCTATTTCTAATTTATAGGTGGAATACACCTTTTTTTGCGTGTATCTTAATCTTATGTCCTAAGCTTAGAGGCACCATCTGTTGATGATGTCAGTTTAGCCTATATCTAGGCTACGTGTTTTGGAGGAGGAGCAGAAGCACCAGGTGTGTGGGTGTCTTGGTGTGTGTCGTGGCGGGACGGCAGCTGCCAGCCGCCCTGGGGACTCGGGGGGCCCATGGCTGTTGACCTGGGCACTTTGCTTTGCTGCTTACTTAGGTTTGACTTGTGTCAAGTTTGGACACCTGAAGAAAGAATGTGGAAGACGAATCTCGTCAGCTCAAAGGAAACAGAACTCTTTGTGCATCAGGTATCTTATTTCATTTTGGGTGCTCACGTGTGCATCATTATCAACTGAAACTTGGATAGTTTTACCCTGCATGTTCATCTGTCCCACAGAAAAATCAAATAATCCTTCCAAGAAAAATCAAATAATCCTAATTGTCTTGTCTGTGTATTAAGTGCTTGACTGTAAAACTTATGCAGTTGCATATTTAATGCCCCAAAGCCATGTGTTGAGTGGAGAATTGTWCTTGTTCTTTGGAAGTCTCTGAGCACTTGTTCATTCTCATTTTTTTTTTTTCTGAAAAAATTGTTTCACAGATAAGTCAATAGATATCCTAAACTGCTTATGAATAAATTTGTACTAAGCAGTGTCAGTAAGCAAGCAGGAGGCTACAGACTTGGCCTATGATGAAATTAATAGCAACGCCTTACTGACAGAAGAGACAGTCAATTATCCCAAATCAGAATGGTTCAAGAAACAGTAGATATAAATTAAGGCATTTTGCTTCTGCATTTGTTTATTTTGTTAAAATGTTTCTCAAAGTTTTCAGCTAATGTTTAAAGTCTCARTGCTTTATACAATTATGCACATATTTACCCATGAAATGTGACTGAGGACAAGAATACACATTACTACAAAGAAAAAATAAATGGTTTGAAGCACCAGTGAAAGCCTACCTTTTCATGGCAGATGAAGGAAAGCAAAAACTCTGTTGTACTCGAGCCAGGTTTTGTTCGTCGAGATCTTTGGCAGCTCGGCTAAGAGCATACATGGGTGTTAATTATATTTTGGATTTAGTTTTGTCATGTTCCACAGGTGAAGTGAAGGTCAGCCCCACTTTGCTTCTCGGTGAAGAGGCGGCTGCCTTCCTGCTGCAGTTGGAAGCACGGCCCTCGCTGCCTCGAGAAGGCACAAGGAGCCTCTCACCAGTAGTGGCTCTTCTGTGGGAACCTCTCTCTCACAGCCAAGCGCAGGAGCTCTGAGCTCTGCAGACACAGTATTTCATCTGCAAAAAGATGCACTCGAGCTACAGGCTTTATTTCCAGGATGGCATAAGATCACAATTTTAATTATCTCACAGTAAAAGGAAAGTTATTTTAAGAAAAGAAAAACRCATCTTTTCATGAGCTGAAAAGTTTCTCAAGTCGTAACTCATGGATTTATTAAATTGTGCCTCCGGATCAGGAGCCATGGCTATGTATCTGCTGGGGGATGGAAGAGAGGACCAATTTTGAACTGGAAATTATCTGAACATTGGTATCAAGTCTATATATTCTCCTGCAGTTTTATTTCAGAACCTGCTGTTATGGGCTAACCAGTTGTGGAAGCTCAAACAAAAACACGTCTGAAACCACATACAGAAGATGACAAGATGACACTGAAGAAGCTGTGTAATGCAGGAGAAGGATCCATAGGTGGAAGGGTCCATCTCACAGTTTCCTCCCAAAGGAAACAGCCCCTGCACCGCTAGAGTATCCAGGCTCTCCGAGCTGGGTGAGCCCGGATAGCGGAACGGCCCAGTTGCTCAGGAGCAGTGTCCCTAGCAGCACAGTGTGACCCACYGGCAACTGGGATTTACCCTGCCCAGCGGGTCACAGCTCCCACAAGTCTTCTACTTGCACTGCAGCTTTTTTCTTTTTGCTTGCAACAAGGGCAAGGCAGGATTGGCTCTCCCTTGCTCCATGCTCCTTCAGCTCATGGGAGCACAAACTCTGGTTCCTCTGCATTAAATATTCAGCTACCCCAACAGACAAAATACATTTTCTTTTTTAGCATGTAAAATTTAACACAAAGTTAGAGCTAGAATATCATCTCTCCTGTGGCTACGGGAGCATGAAGTGGACAGGAATTTCAGTGTTCCTGAATAGCAGTCCTTTGCAGAATGTTGCTATTAAGCTGTGTGCACGTTGTCTCATGGCTTCACATGGCTCCTTGTGAATCATGCATGGCCTTAGTCCTGGCTGGAGGCGTTTCTAGGCTTTGACTGCTCTTCTTGATGAACTCAGCAGAGGAATTCCTGCCTCAGGTTTCTCCATGTGACSCTCAAAGCAGGTTCTTCCAAGACAGCCAGCTCTTGGGCTGCTTTGTCTTGACTCTTGGCTGCTTGGCACTTTTTAGTTCCCTGCTGGCTGCCTCCAGCCCTGCAGTTGGCATTGTGGAAAATGTCAGGAAATATGATCCGAAAATCCATGGAATACAGCAAGCATTCAGAAACTCCAGGGTAGCATTTTCATAGTTCTCTGATTATTACTGCACTTCAAGATATTCTCATTTCACAAATTTAAATTGRTGATGAGTCGATTAAGGGATTTTCCACCACTTGTTGAGCTATTACAAACCACAGGTGTTAGGTAAGTCTGGAAATACAATTCTGACCTGGAATTTTTAATTCTTCATTTATTTGCATACCTCACTTTTCTGAGAAATGAAATAGATGTGATTTTTAATCTCATACACAGAAGAATATTGCATCTTCTTAATTGTAAAGATAAAATTATTTCTGTGATGATAATGAAATAAAGTATACCAGGTAGAGTGGCACAAGAGAAATTACTGGCATTTACAAATTCCATAGCTGTTTTTCTGTCACACAAACTCTGATATGTTTTTCAGGAAAAGCAAAGCACAATACCCCGAGGTAGTCTAATTTCATATCCAAGAAAATAGAAATCTTTTATTTCTGACTACATCAATTTGTGTGCACAAATTGCATTTTTATTACAGCAAAAAAAAGCATAATTTTTTCTTTTAGATTACTGAAAAAGCAGTTGATGTAATTGGACAATTGGTGTAATTGTATATGCAATTGGAGAAATCACTCATGCAAATAAGGTATTATATGCATCTTATGCAACTTCTGTGTGGTTTCAATATGGTTGTGTCTTATTTAGGCATATAATTATATGCGTGCTTTGCATCTAATGTTTTTAGGCAGGGTCCTACATACTTGCTGATTTTAGTAAAAATATTGTTTTCTAAATATAAAGTGTTCTTTATACTGTAAGCAATAAAAATAATGGGTTCACCATAATGTTCAGGGCTGTGAACACATTATTTCTAATAAATTCAACTTTGGTGAATTGTACGTTATGGGGATGGAGTTACATACTTGCTGAAGATAAAAACTCATTTAAGCTCCAGTAATTTCACAGCAATCTACAGTACACAGGATAGTTTGCCAGTTCCTGCCAGTTCCTCAAGCTCTGCAAAGGGAGCTTGACAAGCACTTGTTTAATRTATTTTTAAACTTATTGGTACAAAGGGTAGTATTTTAAAACTTTTTTGACTTTTTTCCCCCCTCACTTTTCTCGTCAACACAATCACATTAGAGCATCATGAGATTTTGTTTATAGTTAAGTAAAATAGTGCATTAGGTAGAATATAGTGCAATATATTGGAGTCAGAAGAGTTGCACTGCTCTGTTTCAGGCTACTAAGGTGTCACGATGGAGCTGTGTACAGTGAGATGATTTTTCTTCATGCTTCAGCAATAGTTCTTTTACTCATTTTCTCTCCATTTTTGTCCCACAGTGACTGCAGTGGCATGTGTTAGCACAGCATTTCAATGACATCAGGATTTTGAGGCAACCGATACATCTAGACCAAGAAAAATGAGGTGAGCACAATTAATTTATTACTTTCATTGACTTCTGCAGTTCTGGGGTAGGAGTACTCAGAAGCTCCATATCAGCTCATGAAGAAGAGCCTTTGAAAATTTTAAGGCAAATAAAATCGCGAATGGAAATATTATTAGTAAAATCTAGTGCCAGTATCAAAATAAAATAAAAATTTTAAACTCTTACAAATGCCATGGCAACACTACCTAGTATTAGAAAGGGCCGAGTAGGTTCCCTGTTTATGTAAGAAATGAAAGTTCTGTTGTTATGAACAGAAGTCTGATTTATGTGATAGAATTTAAAGAAAGCAGAAAGCAAGGCCTAAAACAGAGTGGGGTCATAGCTGTGSTGTATAGGGTTATTAGGGGGGTTGTTAGGGGTTTCATTTGGATGTGGCAGTTTGGCGCAAGCCGGTGAAATAGGAGCAAATGAAAAGTACTTGGGACCCAAGGGTTCAGCCTGGTTTTGGATGTGGTGCAGCTCCAGCGTGGCAGTGTGCGGGGTCTTTAGCCTCACCAACACCTAGCAAAAGTGGGCTCGATGTCAGGCCCAGAAACCACGGCAGTCCCGGTGCTCATCTCTTGATGCCGGCCAGCAGGCTGAGGCGGCTGCCGTTGGGATGGGCCGCAGCTCCCACAYAAGAGTGAGTTCTGCATCACCCACCTCCCTCCTTCCTATCGTGTCCAACGCGGCCAGGCAGGGATCCAGCACAGGACTGAAACTGCCTCCTCTGGGCTTTACTTTCTCTCATGTTTGTATTTCCACCATCCTTTTTGTAGGTCATGTTCACACGAATGCAGTAGTTGGTGTCTTTGAGCCATGCTAACGGTAAAATAAATATGAGGTTAAATCAGAATTTTTTAATTGAAATGGAATCTACGGATTTGCACGTTTGTCCATAAGTCAATAAAAAGTTATTTAYAGTCTCTGTGTAAGATACAGGGAACATTTGCATTAGAGGATGAATTGAGAGTGGTCAAGACATTGTTTTGATATTCAACACAAAGCACATCATCTGTCTCTATTTGTCCTTTGAAAATGTGTCCACAGAGGAATGAAATATAAGGATAATATTTGAAAGCTCTTGCTCTGTTTAGTGTTTGTGTGTTAGCACTATAGTATTTTGTCAAACAAGCACTGAGGCCTTCAGATAACATTTGTATCTTCATATGAAGGATTTGGCTTGGTTGGCCCTACTGAGATATGAAGATACATCTTTTTTTATCAAATCTATATAGAATTTTACGGTTAGTTCTTCAGCTGGTGTATTCTGGTGCCATTCCACAATTGTTGATGGAGCAGCTCTGGTGGGTGTTAGCCTTGGGTCTTGGGGTGACATCCTAATGCAAGGAAAGGCTTTACATTTCCTGTATTTCACCCTCTCCTATCTTGATATCCTGGAATTTTTAMTGTAGCTTAAATCTGTATTCCAGTAGAAACCCAGAGAAACTAAAATCATTTAGTTTGGTTTACATTTCTTCCCAAAGATCTGTGTTGCAGCAGCCCTCACTGCTCACCCGTCCTCACAGGGATCCAAAGCAGCTTCAGATGTGAGATTGGCACCGTTCTGCAAACATGTCCCCTTCGGTGCAGCGCATCTCTGCTGGCAAACTGCTCCCTGGTGATCCTTAACGGCAAGGAAAGATCTATGGAGCAGCAAAGCAGTTCTCTTACTGCAGCCTGCTGATGATCCCAGCCCACGGCCCCATTTAGGCAGTTCCTTCATCTCGCTATTTCTTACACTGGTGCAGAGACGACTATTTGCTGTCTTGTTCCATGTTTCCTTGTATAGGTCTAAGGACTTTGTAACATATGATTAATCCATAGTACAGCATAAGGATAACAAGATTATAATTTGCTGAAATCCACCCTTAACTCATATATCTTGACATTCAGAAGGCAAAACTTTATAACAAAAGAACAGAGAAAGGAGATTTTTGGACTGTTTTTTCTTTTTAAAGAAATTGACTCAATTATTTGTTTCTCTTCAGTGTTTAGAATTTGGTTCAGAAGCTTATGCAAACCTTGCTCAAAATGATTTAGTATTATTCAGTGGAATGAGACTCCTGCAGAGGAAGTTTTTTTAATAAAATGTTCTATTCAGAATATGCCTTCCTATTCCAGTCAGTTCAGAACTGCTGTGGCATGGTAACTACCCCATGTTTCACCTGTCACATCTTTGTTCTTTTCACTGCTGAATGCACAGAGTGAATGAAATGCTGAATAATTTTTTTTTTAATGATTTCACATTTCTAAAAAGGATTCTCAAATGCTCTGTTCTGATCTGCCCTTATCCTAATCAGACTCTTTCTCCTATTTGGAAATAAATAATCTGAGTCACTAGTCAGAAAAATACTTGTGTGTGCACTTTAAGTTGAGAATTTTAATTGAAGGAATAGCATGCATTCACCTGAGGTTAGTGAAATAGTTTTGTGAGAGTAACAGTGCTGCAATGTTTTAGAGGTTGCTGAGGGAGGGCTGTATAACAGAAGGTGTCAGAACCTTGGTTGGTAGCTAGCAATAACCTAGCAAGACTTCAGCACATKTGAGCCCCATACTGCTATAGCAAACACCCTGAGCCTTGGGGCCAGACTGTCCTTTCTCGCACAGTGAACACCATTATCCATGGTTAYCCATAAAATGTTGCATTCTAATTGCAGTATCATGGCTAAAAAGATGGAGGAAAGAAAAGATTTTTACTATGGAATAAAATGTATGGATGTTCTGTTTTTTAAGGTGGTAAGATGAGAACATGTAAACCATTGATGGTAGTTCTTAGAAGTACATAGATGAATTAGAGAGGAGTTTTAGCCAAAAGGCATGAAAGCTCAAAATATACAGACCTGTTTATAACTCAAATGGATAAAATGCACATTTCACAGTAAGTGCAGGTTTTTAAAGAGGAAGGTAATTACAGCCCTAAGCACTTCATGATACACAACGGTGTCCCTGTGCTGCATGAAATGAAGTGCAGTGATTCACTGTGCAGTGCTCGAGCTGCTGCGCAGAATTCCTGCTGGAAACTGAACTCATGTTACAATAAGGTCTATTTGAAAAAAAAAAAAACCCAAAGTTTCTTGTATTAAAACAAATTCCCCATATGGTGGCAGCCTTTAGAAGGAGATGGGTAGAAAGGAAAGGTGGCTTTAGGTTTTGCTTCCCCCTTGGTGAGGATGCCTGGGAGGCCTTGGCACTATGGGCTGAGCCGTGCGTGGGAGGCAGAGGAGAGAAGCTCCACGACTGCGGGGCTGCTTCCCCTCCTCATCTGGGCAGCCCAGCAAAACAGCAGGCTTTTTTAAAGCAGATTTACAGGGGTAGTGATTACATACACTTTGGTATTTCTTATTTCTCAAAATAGGACTGCTGTACTACCCTGAAATGACCTTGTTTCTGCAATACTTTGTCCCCAAGTAATAATAAGGACGCAGATATAAGCTGTAATAAACACTCTGAAAGCGGAGCTAGTATTTGTGGTAGGATCTCCAGCTCCAAGGTCCTGAGGCTTGACTAGCTGGCCCAGTTTGAAGCCTCAGGACCTTGGAAGGGCCTGAACCACCCGAGCAGCCGTTCYGGGAGGCAGCTGCTTGGCTGGCTTTGTCCATGATAGTGTCACTGTCAACTGCCTGCCTTTCACATTTGTTCCGTGCCCTCCTCCACTAGGTCTAAGTCAGGTGAGGAGGGAGCGCGTGCCAGGTAGCCCTTTTCTTGAGGTTGTGGCTGCCGCTGGTTGTGGCTCCTTCCACCAGCTGTGAAAGCAGCTGCCAGAGGGCAGGGCTGGGAGCTGGAGCAGGSGCAGTGCTGCCCCTTGCATCTCCTCTCTGCTCCACACTCTCCCCTGAAGCGACCTCAGCATGGACAGGTGCTAAAGAAGCTGCCTTCCCATGGGAATGGTGAGCCAGGGGTGATGCTGCTGCTGGTGGTGTGGGCTTTCCACCCACGTTTCCTTCATTGGCCCCCCCCAGACCTATTTCTGCTGGGAGACAGATGCTCTAAACTTGCATTTATGGGGCATGTATTCTTTGCAAGCTCTTTGCACTGTGCTTATGCAAATGAAAATCACTCTATTCTGACTAACAGCGATGTGAGTTATAGCCCGCTTATTGTTTTAGAAATAAAGATATTAGTATGCAAATGACTCTGGAAGGTGTTCCTTCTCATTAGAGAATGGAGATCATTTGATAAAAGATGCTGCATGCTGCTTCTGCAGAAAGGCTTAGCAAATTTGTCTTGTCTCAACAGCATCCTAACAACAAGACCGATCGGATAATGTAGAAAAGAAAGCGCAGAAGACAAATGGTTTATGACATTCGGGTTACCTTTCCTGTGCAAGGTGGGCGTGAAATTTTTTATGGTGAGACAAAAAAGATGATGGGCAATTAACTATAAACTCATGCAGCAGGTTTATCATATGCTCAGCTCATCCATCTGTGTCTCAGTCTCCAGTGGACTCATGAGTTTCATCAAGAAAACCATTTTCAAACCAGCAGACCAAAACAGATGATTTTCAACTCCAAACTCCATTGAGCTTTTGTGCTAGCTTTACCTTATTGTAAGATTCACGGATACAGCAYAACACACAGAAAAAGTGTGATCCAAATATTTTTGCACTTGCGGGGTATGATTTTTTAAAATATTTTTCTCATTCAGAGGCCAGGTTTGCAAATACTTACAGGTATATGAATAACTTTTTTTTTCGCTTAAGTTTCATTAAATCCTTTGGATGGTAAACATGCTGTATAACTGCATTTAAATTTCAGCTTCTTGGCTATGATGTTTCTGAAAGAATAGGTTCAGGGAAATAGGAGAGAGAGGAGGAGTTAGAGCACTGCATTAATACTCAGTGGTGCCTGGGTTGCGTGCTCTGCTGCAGACCGTGTGCGTAACCTTGAACGAACCACTTAATCTTAGCTGTATGTGAATTTTGACCTATAAAATCAACACAATTGTATATATTTTTCTGATCTGTTTGTTCCGAAGTAGTTAACATTTAACTGCACTA